AAAGTTGTGTGTGTTGTTTTTTTAAATAGAAGTTGGCTATAACTTTTATACTAAGAGTTGCTTTTTTTGTGTTGTGTTGTGTTGTGTTGTGTTTTTCAAAGGTTGCATGCTGGCTTGGATCCCATGCTGGGAGAAAGGTTTGATATTAATAAACTATGCATTTCTGTTTTTGCAAATGTGCACTAAATGCGGATGTTTTGCATCAGACAAAAATATCCAAATGTTTCTGCCGGGGAGTGATACCAGCCTGTGCGTTCTTGTTGTTGTTGTTATCTTACTCACCAGATTCAGGTAGACTTTTGTTGTCATCTTTTCATCTTTTTCATTCTGAAAATAAAATAAAAGCATGCCAAAGAAAACAACAGGGTGTAAGTTTCCAAAGTAATGCAGTCAGGTTTTCCAAACAGCAAGAAGTTAAGTTATGTTTTGTGTACTACTGTTACTAATGGATTATGATTCTTGTATATCACGGAATGAGTCCAGGGTTCGATTCTCAGCACGGACATTAAACCACTGGGTGACCTTGGGCAAGTCACACTCTCTCAGCCTCAGGGGAAGACAATGGCAAATCTCTGAACAAACCTTGCCAAGAAAACCATGGAATAGGTTCGCCTTAGGATTGCCATAGGCTGGAAATGACTTGAAGGCGCATAACAACAAGGTCAAGAGCTGTGACATAAACAACTAACAAAATTAAAATTATACCTTTAAATAACAATATCATTTATGTGTACAGAGGGGCCTCGGTATCCAGGACCTTCCATGGACACCAAAACCCATGGGTGCTCAAGTCCCATTAAATACAATGGCATAGTGAAATGGTGTCCCTTAGATAAAATGGCAAAATCCAAGGTTTGCTTTCTGGAATTTATATATTTTTGGGATATTTTCGAACTGTGGATGCTTGAAGCCACGGATCAAGAATCCATGGATACAGAGGACCAACTGCATACATCATTTCATGCGATTAAAGTGAAAAAAGGTGAAAATTTGCTAAGATGTTAAGAGTAAAATTTGAAAAGAGCAAACTGAAGGCTCTCCTTTTTCCTTCCTCCAAGCCTGGTTCCGCTCACAGCATCTTTTCCGCAGAGCTCCAGGGTTTTAAAGGGATGCAGGTGAACCCTACAAACTATTTCAATGCCATTGTATTTGTCATTTTTGCAAGTTTTAAATTCTACTGTGTTTTTTCCAACTGTAAGCCGCTTTGAGTTCCCATTTTGGGGGGAAAGCAGGGTACAAATAAATATATCATCATCATCATCATCATTTCTGCCCAAAGGCAGATGTTTAGGGAGAAGTGCGGTCACCCCAATTTAGGGTGTCATCCGGTGTGGTCGGAGTCCTTTGCATGACCCTAATGACCCCCACGGTTTGGCTATGGCAATGACAACAGTAACTACGCTATCTGCCTGTGCAGCCTCTTTCGTGCTACATTTTTCGGTGATTTCAGGTTCCTATTCATCCCCACTGCAGCTAGGAAGAATGGGGTTTCCAGAGGCAGTAGGCCTGGAGGATTTGCCACCCCCCAGGAGAGAGCAAGAGGCCTGAAGACCCCTCCATCCCTCCATCCCTTTCTCTGCCTTGGTCCCTAGGAGGCTGGAGAATTTGGTTATTAATAGCCGGAAACTGCAGCTGTCGCTTGGGCTTCCTTTAACTGTTTCTGCACCTGAGCCCCAAAGGGTCCGAAAGCGCAAGGCCCCTCTGGGGCTTCTGTTTGGGGAGAAATGGGGTGCCAAGGAGGCCTGGGTTGGGACACAGGAGTGCCCTCAACCCTGGGGAAAAAGGAAGGAAGGGAGGAAGGAGAGGGAGAGAAGGAGGAAGAAGAAAAGAATGTAGAAAGAGAGAGGAAGGAGGGGTGGAGGGAGGGAGGGAGGGAG